TGCTGATACTGCCGATATTTTAAACCTTAAGAGCATCATAAATTACGTTAATTTTGACATTTGTCAAGACTGTAGACATCAGATTTCTTTTGATTTTTCATCTTTTATAGCAGAAACATGCATGCCCTTTATCTTAGATAAAACATGGTTTGCACTTAAAAATTTACTGATGTGTATGAGTTTGCAAATGATATTTTTAATTTAAATTTTAAAAGTTCATGATCAAGGACAAACAACGCTATAATCTGAATATCCCCCTTTTTTAAACAATCTTTTATAAACCTGCTTAGACTCAACTTGAATGGTTGTATCTAGGTCAAAAGATTGTTAGAAAGGATTATGGTAGATGTAGTTAAAGCCGTAGCTTTGTGCCGATTCACGTTAAGTTTAAAATAAAATCTTGAGGACAAGCTACCTGGAGTAAAGCTCTGTCGGTAGTGTCAAAACATCTTAACAAGAATTGTAAAGATTTTCTAATTATCTGATAAAAGCTTTAAATAAGGATACCTAGTTTTCTCTTTAGAAGGAAGTTGTAAGAAATTTCAATCGACATCTTGTTACCGCAACAAAGATTTTCAACAATAAAATTCTATTTGAATATATTTATAGCTCCAGATGTTAGGAAATGTGACATTTAGAATGAATAAACATAGCTATACATTTAGTTGAAAGTCAAACGAAAAAGCTTATCAATTTTGTATATTAAAGATTGAGAAAATGTTTCAGCAATTGTAGTATTTAAAATACAATTGATACATTTAAAGTTGCTGATTATGGGTAATTATTACAAAAGGTTTCACTTAGCAGTTACTGATTTCAAAATTAAAAAAAAGTGCACTTGTTTAGATGCATGTCAAAACTAAAGCAGATTGCAGTATAAGATGCAAATTTCCACAGCTTTTCTGTCTAAGATACAATTACATTGCAATAAAACTTGCATATGCCATTTGTAAAGTCCCTGGTGCATTGTATTGCAACAAATAATCTGATAGCAAAATAATAAACAACACACATGTGTTTGTTTTCTTTGTAAGATGGTCTTGTAAAGTTATGAAAGAGTCAGTAATACTGTGTATCCTTATCAGATATAGTAACCTACAAATTGATAAAATATAACCGTCTTCTTTAGTGTCTTCTTTGAGTCGGTTACTGGAGTATTTATGGCATATGAAATGTTTGATAGGAGAAAAAATTATCATTAAATGTGCATATTTTATTGATATAATAAATAAGATACTTTTAGTGATTATATGTTATTACATAAATAATATCTTTAGTAGACTATTAATTTTATTAATAGTAATTGACTTCCAATTTCTATACTTTGAAGATATAACAATCTCCCATTTTTTTGCATTTGGATCGTTGGTAATTGTTTTTTTTGCAAGAACATGAGAAATTCTTGGAACAACAACATTTTTTTTTAACCATAATGCACATTTACATATATACATATATATGCAAGTTGCCAATAAAGATGAGTTCACCTTCTTTTGTATAAAAGAAAGTTTACTACACTACACTTTCTTATAAATGACCTATAAATTTATATTTCTAGCTGTAGTTACGTTCTATATGGGGGACAAGTATTAGGACATTTATGATAGACTGGATATGATAGATAAAGTTAAGAGTTTTGATGTTTGTTCCTTATGTCAATATATAGAACTACCAATAATACTTGGTAGTTGTTAGAGACTATGGCATTTCTGACTACTGCCATGTTGACTTGTTGGACAGTACTCCACTGATAGTGCGACGGAACTGTTTATCATTTCGAGGGTCTCAAATTGCATGAGTGGTTGGAAATGCTTTTGAATCTTTATTTTTCCATTAATCTAATGAGTCATTTCAATTTATTCTTAATCAGGTGATTTTTCAATGTGAATTTACTATATTTAGATAGGTTTGTGGTTTGAATGAATTAAAGGTTCAGGGTTATTAACGATTAATCAACACGTTTGAAAAGCTGGGTGGATTAACAAAAACCCCTATTTGATAAAAATCATAATCATTAAAGCGCAACATCATTATGTACACAAATGTATCAAATTTGAAATAATGGCCAAAATCTTGCACATCTGTCTCAAACCACCAAACTTCAAAGAGAAGCTCTTCTATTAGATAAATAGGAAAACAATAGGATTAATTTACCTGGCCCATGGCCGACCTATTGTTAATAAGGTAGTTGTATAGAATTAATATGATAATTATATGAAATATGATAATTGAGATAAAACATTAATCCCTCCGTGGATAATGAACTTTAATATTGATGAGAGAACATCAAACAAGACAGGTGCCCCTAAGGGAAGTAACTCCTGTTATAGATCGTTCTGCCCCGGGCCAGGTGTAACACTCTAGTAATTAGAAAATACATCTTCACTAGGTCGTTATGTCTTTGATGTTTCTATTTGAATCAAAACAGTAACATGGAAAATTAACATGTATATTTACATGTGAGAAAATTATACTGTGCATATGTCCTATAGATAAAACAGGTTTTTGCATAATTCTAACTTTTGTTTAAAAGAAACATAAAAGAGGTTAAAACATATAAGTGAATATAATTTTAGATCTTTATACATTCAACTTTTTTGTCTGCTTGTAAAATTTGATTGAATAAAAGCCTGTTATAAGTGCTGAAACAGCTGAAAGGAAACAGTTAACACAGTTTACATGTAGGAAATGTCAGAATATTATATAATTTAATTATTGTAGGTAATAAGTAGCAGAAAAAACATAAAAAAGTCAAACAAAAGATACACAAATTTTTTTCTAAGCTTAAAGTCAATAAAATTTAACCAGATATAATTTTGAATAAGAGAGAAAGTTAGGAAAGTGGTGTATTTATGTAGCAGTGAAAATTTATCCAACCTAAGGTTCTTTAGGAATTAAAATGTATATGTGTCGTAGATTTTTGTTGAATATATTTACTGTTTAGAAATATGTAAAGGTGTGGAAAGATTTGTGTTGTCAAAGTCTTATAGTTAATCTATTATCAAACTACAAGTAGCTTAAAATCATATTATTCTGTGGTCAGGGAATCATGAGTTAGTCAACACTTAAAAAAGTCGATATCTAGGGATATATATTCATTGACGTGAGCAAAGACTATTTGCAATTGGTTTTAAGTCGCTGACGTAATTTCTTACAAGTTCATGTAACATAGCTTTGTAGACTTTTCATAGTGTAAAGAGTTTACAGTGTAAATAAGATGAAAACAAATATTAAAAATGAAAAGTAAATACAAAAATATGTCAGGCAAGATTTTAGGATGTAAAAATAAGATTAAAGTGCTCAGAAACCAAATGAACTCGGCATAGTTTTGTATCCACATTTTTAAAGCGGAACATCAATTGATCTGAAGTGTTATGAATTTAGGTGGTTGTCAATGTACATACATGTACATTTTAAAGAAAACAAAATAAAAAACAATTTCTTTAAAAAACGTTTTATCTATAAACGAAAGATATAATACAAAGAGTTGAAATACTATTTTAGGCCACCTTGGTTTTTTTCTCTTAAAAGAGAACGGATGTTCAGTGACACTACAACAAACTCACATTAAGATTTCAATCCTTGATAAAATATGTACATATTCTTCTATTAATAAATGATAGAATGTCAAAAAATCAACCTAATTTAAAAGATTTAAAAGGCGTAATTTGAATAAATTATCAATATTGAAAGAAAAAGTGATGTCTTTTAATACTTTTGCTGTGTCATTGGAAAATTAAAAAAGAAAAAAAAACCTGTATATGTAGTCATGCAATATTGAAAGCTGCTTTATCATCTTTAAAAAAGGCGTAAAATTATCTCATAAAATTTCCTTTATTAATCAATTTAATTGCACCCCATGGCCACTAATAGATATGTTTTGAGTTAAAATTCACCTATAAATTTAATCTTGTGTTACAGAATGTTGTGTATATACACTTCTTCACTTTTACTAGTACTTGACTTAACTTAAAAAAAAACTTAACAAGTTTATAAGCACAAAATGTAACAAATTTGTTATTACAGTGTATAGCATTTTCAAACAATTTCCCTTTGTCCAAGGTCAGTATCAAACGACATCATGTCAACTGTAGTAATTTTGTGTGAGCTCCCTGTTTTTTCCCACATTAAAATCTAACTCTGTATTATAAATTGGATAAAAGCACACTTTTGGTCGATTAAAGGACAAGTCGGTGTAGAATTTTAATACTTTGATTAGATTTCGGGATAAAACTTTATAAAGGACCCACAGATGTTTACGAGAAACTCATCGAATTTGATTTTCTGCCGATAGGTTTTCTTAAGAACATCATGAATAATGCAGAAAACAGGTTGACCTCACTTTTGTAAAAAGATTCAGCTGTTTTTTTTTTATTAGGTTTGGAAGTTTGCCAACACAATGTTGAGCTATTCCTTTTAGGTCACATACGTGATCTGTGTCCTCATGAAGATCTATTGCGTTACCTGTGCTTCAACTTGTTTTTAAGTGTTATAAAATGAAATCTTTACAAGAAATGATAAATCTATTCATGAAGTTTATCATATTTTGTGAGGAGTGTTTAAACTTGATCTGAAGCAGGATATGGAGAGGCCATTCTTGTATTAATTGGAAATTCTTTTTTCATAAACTATAAGGTCCTTGAATTGAACACAAGAAAAAAAAGAAAAAAACATATATAGGATCAAATTTAAAGTAAAAATTATAAGAATGTGAAAAACTAGCAATAAGATATTTTTTATCAGTTTTGCGGTCATGACTAGGGATGCTTGGCCTCTGGCTAAATGTAATGATAGTATGTCCACAAAAATTTTGTCTTTTGATCGAGGGCAAGATTTACTTTTTTTTATGTTTAATATAACAGTTTGAGTGTCAAGTAACAACATTATAATACATACAACCTATCCTCTCTCTAAAATGTTGGTGGATTTTTTACTGTAAAATCTAGTCGATAATATTGTTTTATAACAATTATATTTGAAGTCTTTTGTTCTGTTTTCAGATGTTGGAGGAAAGCAGATTTTTGAAGGAGATCCAAATTTTCTTGACCATTTTAAAGTGTTAGATACAAATGGAGAATGGATGTTATTAGGTGGAAGGTATGTATCATACAAGACATAAAGTATTAAACAGTACACACCTTAGAATTCAGCATGTGTAACATCCATAAAATATCTTAGATATTGAACATCCGAGAGATTAGAGAACGACTTTAGAATGTTTAAAAAGGGGGGGGGGGGATTGTGAACAAATGTATTCTATTGATCACCAAAAAGCTTTCAACAGGAGGTTGCACACATCAAGGATCAACAAAAAGTTCATACTGTAAATGTCCCCTTGGTATATTAATTTCGCCCTTTTTTAAACGGTAAAGTCGTGAAAACATTACATGAGAAAAGTATGGTTATTAACAAGTAGAATTAAAAATGATCTTTTGATAAAAGAAAAATAAAGATTGTTAAGATTAAAGTGCATACTATACAAAACACACTTGTGCTGGTGATTTTTATTCAATTGGAGACATGGTAAAACCCTGATCAAATACAGATATCCTTGGCCCATCTTAAAAGTTTGAAAGAACTTTTCATGTACAATACAAACTCAGTCTATAATTGAATTTATTTCCAAAGAAATTGACAAACACAATAAGTATAATGAAGTTATAAATTGCAATACTTAAGTGTAAATAAATGTATTTGTCATAATGACATGTATGGCGTCATATATATCGCCTCCCGTCATATATATCGCCTCCCGTGTCTCATTAGCTTGAAATTAAAAAGGTGTGAACCACACAATGTAATAACCATTAGACAAATATCATCATAAAATACAATTTATAGATAAATGTGGTAAACATATAGTTTTGTTTGTTCTTTGACCGTCTTACAAATCAGTAACGCTCCAAAAACATCAGTGGGATGGTGATCGAGTGCCAAAATATAAAATTTGGCAAATTGTCTTTTTAGTATGACATCGATAGAATAGCTAATGTGCCCTTCCAAGTATAAGACCTGATCATAAAATCATCAAAAACATTTTTTTGGTAGTAAAATAAAAGTACATTCAACTAAAACTAGATTTAAAGAATCTGTATTCATACACATTTTATCAGTGTATGATTAACGTAGGTACGTAGGTACAACTGCACCTAACATGTGAAAACTATGATAAGAAGTCTGAAGATAATTTTGCTCAACAGCAGGTCTCCTGTTCAATAAAGGTTTATGACTGAAAGTAAATGCAAGGTGCATGTAAAGTTATTTGACATGATTTGCTCTGTTTTACTAATTGAAAATATGTACAGCAAGTCTTAGTGCATTTACTTATTAATTGCATTCACACATGATTTTTGCATATATAGTTTTTCAGTGATTATGAAAGAGATTTTTTTTTAATTTCAGAAACAAAGTTTACAATCTGAGTATGAACACCTTAACTGAAGAATTGCAGGTAACTATTAAATAATAAAGGACGAAAATTATGACTTTGTCCTCCATTTAAAAAGAATAATATATTTTCCAATTATTTAATAGCATAGCAACAGAAATCTGTTGATGTCAAAATCTGAAAGTGATTGTTTTAGAAACATCATAAGAGGCATGTAAACTAACACAAAATTGAGGTCAGACAAAAAAGAGTCCCAGAATTTGAAATTGATGTATACTAAAGAGACATATGTTACAAAGTATGTGCTCCAGAAGTGCAAATGATTAATCCAGCAGGAGCTTTTTAGCTAGAAATACTGTCTTCATTTAACAAACATCTTTACCCCATCTGGTAATTTCTAATTAATTTACAGGCAAAAAAGTAAAAGAATCACAACATGGGTGGGGTGTACATATGGAGTACATTCATTGTGATGTTCATTTCATGCTGTGGAGGTCTATCAAACAAAAACAATGAAACAGACACAATAACAAAACCAGTGGATGACTTTCCTTGTCATATTTCTATAGAGATTCATCAATCAAAGACTTATGATTTAATGTTGGCTAATTGGAAAAAAGTAATAGGGTTTCTCTGGGTGATGCTTGCATATGCTTCTGACATGAATTATTGTCTTTCCATCTGATAAACTGGGTTATATTAATAATAAATCTTGCCTGTTTTAACGGTGAAGATGAGACTGCCATTGCTCAATCTTTAAATGTCTGTTATTGAATGGGGGTTTGTTGTTAGTATTTTTATTGTTTTCTTTTTGGTCATGGTGTTGTCTGTTTTTATTGGTCTTTCGGTTTTTGATTGCCCCCATAGCATCTTTTCACTCTATTTGTAATATTTTGAATTATCTGTCCTGGTATATAGCTCAACTTCATTTTCAAAAATGTGAAAACACTCCAGCACCTTTGAAGAAAGCTTCTTTTCTTTTACCTCATCAAAATTTTCAGATAGATTTTTCGCCAATATCATGTGAAAGCATTTGAACCAAAGTACATAAAGATATGCAATAATTAACAGAAGAACACAGTGAACGTCTCATAATTATGATGAAACAAAAACTAACATGCAACAAGCTGTATTAAAACATCTTAGAAATGTTAAAAAACGAAAGGTTATTTCCTACAGAACATGAAATTGAAGACATTTGTTGTCTATAAAAACGACATCACGATATTGTATAACAGAACTTCAAACAGCATTAATCAGCACTTAGAAAGATCATATTTTCTTATGTTTTACAGAGAATTGAATGGGATCCAAGGCAGTATGATAAAGACTATTGTTTAATGAGGAGAAATTCAGAGGTGAGTCACGGTGATGGAGATATCTTTGTGTGAAGTCAAAAAAATAATTACATATGTTTTCCTCAGGATATAATGATCATATGAGTGCTATAAGGAGACTTTTTAAGTACATATTAAAAGCAGTGTAAAAATAAGTAAGCATTTGGTCAAGCGATATTTAATCATCTCAGACCATGATTAAAGAATGAATTTTCGGCAACAAGAACTTCCCAGAACTGCACAAAATATTATTCTAGAAATGTGTAAAAATTCATTTACAGAGATGTTTTCCTCGTTTGTATAATTGAATTTCAAAGATTTATCAATGTACTAGCTGTTGTACTAAGCAAAGTATAAAAGTCATGATATGATGTCATCTATTCTTGGGTGGCATATTTATATAAACTGTCCTTTATTACCTGTATATTATACAATACTGGTAATAGATGGGTTTTTGTTTTGCATCTATTTAATCTGATGTGCTTTGTTATGCAACATTGTGTCAGTTATGTGTATTGGTAATGAGATGCCAAAATTGAGATCATTTACCAATCTATACAAGTTATATAGGCACGCCAGAGGATGATGTCATAGTTTTTAACATACTTTTTATTTGATGTTTTGGATTAACATTTATCAGTCTATTTATATGGTATTTAAAAAAACAATGTGGACTTTGAACAAGGGTTTTCTTAAATTAAAAATCTGTCTAATGTCAAAGTTGAAATTTCCCTATTTAGTTCCTCACAGATGTTAACGAACCTTTTACTCAGATTACATAATAATATAGTATATAGTAACTTAAAATACTATCAAAGAGATACCAGATGTTTTTAAGATAAACTGCACTATGTTTTGTCTGACAGCTGATATTAGTAAAATTTACGTGCAATGTCAAAAAGATTCTTTGTTTTAATTTTTCATGTACACACTGGTTACATGTATGATTAAGATTTACATTTTGCCACACGTACTCATGTTATCTCAAGCTTAAGGAACATGAAAGGTCATGATGTATCATGTGTTGTTTTGTCATTGTCATATTTTTTATGCTTAACAGAAGTTCCCCTGGAAACTTTGTTTTAAACAATACCATAATATCTGTACCTGTTGGAACAAATATTCTATACCCTATTTTTTCCAAAATTGGAAATAATATTACAGAATATTTTGTTCCGGTTGGAACTTATATTATGATGGAACTTCTATTTCATGACAATTTTACTATCAGTTTTTACAGTTTAGCAAATTTTTCTCTTGGTGTTAGGATGGTTTGTCAGTTTCTGCATCTCTGAATATAATTTTCAAATTTCTTAAAGTATCTTAAAATTTTATCTGTCTGTATCATTTTCTGACATAGAGTTATTGATCAGATAAAACCATTTCTTGCCAAAACCAATTCAAATAATACAAGAGCTTGACTCTGATGATTTTTCTATTCATGTCATGTATGGAGGGCTGATTGTGACATTTTTCTGATTGATTATGATCTTTATGAGAGGCTGTTTCTGACATGTTCAATTAGTAGATTATGTAATATTTGAAGGGAGACATTTGTACAACACAGCAGCTGTTATAAAGATGAGCAAGCAGATTCATAAATCTTCCATGATCATGAAAAGTACATTCAGGAATCGTTACCATACTCAGAACTTTTTTTTCAGCACAATTTCCTTAAATAAAGTAAAATTCATGGAAAATTATTGAGCTGTAGGCCACAATTTGTGTAGAACTATAAGGATAAAAAAAAAACAACAGAAAAACAACACTGATTTATATTTGTTCATTAACTATGCTCATTGGAGTTCTTGTAACCTTTCTTTCACACAAACAGTCCTTTTAAATCAAGTACTTATAATCAAGTTTAATATGTCTTAAGAGCAAACAAATAACAATGGTCACCATTTTACATGTGCAATATCCATTGTCAACTGACCCAGGAATAAAAATGTCAGATTTTGTCAGAGGTGTAAAAATCAATTTGTCCATTTTATGATGGTATGACACGAAAGCAGTGACACCTGTACCTTGAGGTGGCGTGGCAGTACCTGTAATAGGATATCAAACCACCTGTGTCATGGCCAGATCGATGTATAATTATCAAAGAATATAAAATGACTTCATCAAAAGTCACAGTTTAATTAATGATTCTTTACATGGATAATTGTTCCACGTTTTGAAAAAAAAATTGATTTAACCAATTTTTTTGTGTTTAAATCCATTAATGGTGTTCGGCTTTGTTTTAAGCATTGAGAAAGTTTTGTCATTACATGCAATAAAGATGGTATTAGAGGAAGAGAAAATAGAATTTACGACAATGATTGCTGTTATGTGACACCAATACATTTCCTTCTTCCTAACAGGAGAATCTTGGGGCTCAATGTAGGGAATTCAGGGATGGTTGATTAGATAGTTGGGAGTTCCTGTCAATATAATACTTCCATGATTTAATGTTGTCTCAATTCATGCAAATTTTTACGAATGTGAATTTTCTGATTTATCGTATATTTTTATTGTTCAGTGTCTTTATGCAGTGTTTAGACAGGAAAAATATCAAAATTTGTATAAGAAGAGTTCCATCACTAGCCTCATTTTGATGACCAATTTGCAAAGCTTATATTATATGATTTATGAAACATTATCGTTGCTGCATACTACCAATTTGTCAAGGCAAGAAATATTTTAATAACCATATAAAGTATTTGTCGATATTGATCATTGACTAAACTGAGAAATGGTTTCCAATCAACATAACTTTTAGTCTATGTTCTCTACAGGATCCCAGTCATTAAAAATCGTCTCTAGTGCAAGGTTCATTATATCAAATCAGAAGTAAATGTCTGCATTGATTACCATTGGTGTCAACAGAATAAGGATCTTCCTCTGGTAATAGGACAAGTAGGGAAGTCTGATATCCTGGATCATGTCGGAAACTACATTTTCATTTCTTGATTTATACGTTTTTGTTGCTGATTTATTTGCATGAGAATAATTGAACAACCATTACCAGAATCAATCTTCTCTGAGCTTCCTATAAATTAACAATTACATTAGAGGTTAAACAGTCATTGCCCAAAACAAATCAATATGCCTTCTAAAAGAGAATTGTCCAAAAAGATTTATAAAAGTGTGTTAAATTTGAATAAAGACGAGATACAACTAGTTTGATAAAAGGATTAACTGGTCTGTCCTGATAATCAAAGGTGACGCACCTGAGGTAACACCTGATATAAGCCACATACTTCTATCTGTGTTCGGCTTAAATATGCGTCGGACTTGGTATCTATTTGACGTAATTATGATAAAATATGTTTAGACCTTTATTCTGGACATTGCATGGACAGACAATATGAATTAAAAAAATATATTATATTCATTATGACTTTGAAATTTGCCTAAAAAGACAATCAGCGACCATAGGATAATTACAAAACAATAGTTAAATGGATGGGTTTTGATCAATCTCTTATGCCTCATTAGAAGTAAGGCATGTTTTACTGTTAGGTATTTAAAATATTTGAAGACAGATAAACTTGTGACAAATAAATTGCAGGTACACAATACAATATGAATCTTCCCATTATATTAAAATATGTGGTATATGCACATTTAAGCCTTTTTATCTTTCTTTAAAAAAAACTTGTTGAATCATTCCATATACAAAGTAGTTCTATATCTGGTCCTGCATGATCATAGTAGGTGTTTGGATTTCCAAGGTTATTTGTATTGTGTTTTATGGATTAGTTTTTTGGGGGTCTTTTTTTAAGGCTATTGTATTGTCTGTCTTTCTTGGTAGATTTCCATCTTCTTTTTTTTTTAAATCTAAGGCATAATTTTAAATTTTGTGGCATTTAGCATCTAATACAATAGAATAACAATTCGTCTTAGAGGTTTATGACTGTTTGGAACAGAATTGTATGAATTGTTTGTATTTTCAGGACCAATGTCAGAACTACATTAGATTATATGGAAAGAAGGACAATGGTGATGTCTACATCTGTGGGACTAATGCATTTAAACCAAGGTGTCGAGTTTACAAAAAACAACCGGTTAGTATGATACACATCCTTGACGGAAGTTTCTTCACATACACATTGCAAAAAGATACAAATTGATATATGTAAATAATTGTTTGGTTGAGAAATTTGGATAGGTGGTAAGATTTTCTAATAAAGTATAAAAACTAGTACAGGTATGTATTTATTTGAAGGCATAAGTTCAAATTTCAAAATATTGTTTGGGTCTAAAGTTCTAAACTAGAGTTCATGTAAAAAATATCGATCATACTAAGACTACGTGAAAATTGACATGTAGTTCTGTGTTTTGATACCAAGGAAAAAATAGTATCAAAGTTTGAATCACTCATGATGAGTTTGCATGAAAAAGTTTGAATTGAATTAATATCAAGTCCTAGTAAAATCTGAACTGCATCAACTTACTTTAATAATAACACACAGTAGTATATTTACTGATTATTGCCTTTGATAAATGTGACATTTGAATTTGTTTTGACACCTGACAGTAGAATGATTGTTTGAAACTGTTAAAGGTCAAAATTCATACCGACAGTTTATCTGATAAAACTTATATTGGGGGATTATTATGAAAATACTTTATTTACACAGAAAAAATAAAGTGGGCCTCATTGTGAAATGATAAGAATGTGCAGGGGAGATTTTTGTGTCCAAAAAATAAAACGGGATCAATGATATTTTGAAAAAATCTATAATTCTGTCAGTATTTGTCATTTAAAAATAAGTAAATCTTTCAATCGTAAACAACAAATATATACAATTTTTAGGACAATTCCTTCGAGATGGTGACGGAGGAAGACGGTGTCGGTAAAAGTCCCTTTGATCCAATGCAGAATAGTACAGCAGTTTATACAGGTATATTACTATGGGAAATCAAAATATATAGTATGGGTAAATCCAGAATTTTTTTGATGAATTAAGGTTAATGCTTGAGTGATTGTTAGAATTATCCATAAGAAAGATTTGGGGAGAAAAGAAGGGCAGTCTTACACACTACCACCATAACCTGCTGTAATTATCTATATTAGAGTATAGAACAATATAACATAAAATATGAATTATAAACAACAGTGAACAAATCCCTGATAAATCTTCAGTGTGATAGAATCCCTAAAGTGGATACCAATGGTATGCAAGGTTGTAACATTAAAAAAACAAAAATGTGAAAACAGTTTTAACAACACTTTATTCAATAAAAAAATAGTTCATTTTATAGATCTATACCATATATTGGATAACAAATGTAGTTTCTTTTCCCTTCCTGTAATCAATCTGAAAACTAACACTTTTTTGTTTAATTTTTAATTTTTTTCTCATATTTCAATGTTTTATAGATGGTATGTTGTTTTCTGGGACAGTCGCAGATGCATCAGAAAGAGATCCATTAATCCTAAAAATACACCAGGGTTCAATGGTACGAACAGTGCAACATGACTCCAAGGTAGTCAATGGTGAGTTTTATGCCATAGCAGATTTTTTTTAGATTTATTAACCATTTATGTCTTTACGGTCCTCATTAACATTTATGATTTATGTATTTCATATGATATTGTTAAATTATAAATAAATAAGCCAGTTTACTCTCATTTTAAAGGACATTTAATACATTAATTGTCTTGACTTAAATATCATGCTTTTGAATAAAAATTCAGTCACCGATTTAATATTTCTCATCTTTACTGATTATCATGATAAGCTGACCTTTATTTCTTCAGGAAATTATATGTTGAATAATTGGTGTATATTTCTTTTCTTTAGATCCAGACTTCGTGAGTTCATTTGACATTGGGGATAAAGTTTACTTTTTCTTTAGAGAAACTGCTGTAGAACATATCAACTGTGGAAAGGTAAGATATTGAGACATGACATTTTAATCATTTTGAGAAAATTAAATTATCCGGAACTTAAAATTTCTAATGATCGTGGTGATAGATGTATAATACTGGTACATGAGAATAAAAATTTTATTCATAGCCTAAGCAAATACAAAATTATAAATTAAATGCTAGTTTGTCGACATCTTAGTTCTTTTAAGACTTTAAAAAGAATTCAACTTTATATTTTTAGGCTGTGTTTTCACGAGTGGCTCGAGTTTGTAAAAATGACAAGGGAGGTAACTACCTGATGAAGAACTTATGGACATCATTTTTCAAGGCAAGACTGAACTGTTCAATACCAGGGGAATATCCTTTCCATTTTGACCTGATACGTAAGTTTTTTTATTTGTAGCATTTAAATGTGGTTGTATCATCTTCATGAAAAAATAATAGGATTAGACATGAATTATTTTGTCTGTACTGCCTCTACTTTATCCATAGACTAGGGATTAATTAAGATTGATTTTCTGATAATTGCAAATGAAATATTGATGTTTTTGTAAAGATAGTTGGCATCATTGTTTCAGAAAATTTCAGGATTTAAAATTCACTTGATTGATATTTATGTCTTGTATGAATTTTGTTAATTCTTTGTTTTCACAATTTAAAATTGACAATTTTTCAACCCTCAGAATCAACATCTGACCTTGGACAGGGAAATCCTATGTCTACAACTCATAGTGCTAATAGAACAGACATGGTATATGCTGTTTTCCAAACACATCCTAACAGTGTACGAGGTTCAGCTGTTTGTGCATTCCGCTATTCTGACATTGTCAAAACATTCCAAGGAAAGTTCAAAGGACAATCATCTCCATCCCACAACTGGTTGGCTGTTCCACAACAAGAGACACCAGTACCACACCCAGAGCAGTGTTCAAACGATACTCATCAGTTAGGAGATAAGGCGTTGAATTTCATCAAGAGTCATACATTAATGGATAAAGCTGTACCTGCTGCTGGTGGCGCCCCCATTGTTACAATGCATGGAATTAAGTAAGCTTTATTTTATGTTCTTGAAATAAAGTTTAACAAAAGAAATATAATTATAATCAAATAACAGCGTTGACTTAATAAATCTCTGAGTTATATTAAGCTACATTTTGTTTATAAATGAGATTTAATTCAGATACATTAAAACTTTCATCTTTGTATGCAGCTGTTTTCATTGAAATTCAATTGAAAAAGTATAAATTATTGTCATATAAAGCACCCATTCATTTGCATTTTTGACTTTTTTTCAGTGCCCTGTTTACAGCTTTAGCTGTTGATTGGCAGGTCCATGCAGCAGACAGAAGATACTATGACATCATCTTCATAGGCACAGGTAAGGTTTTTAGTAGCTTGTTGAGGGGTCATGTAATTGAAAAAAAAATCACCATATTTTATTTGAATTTGAATTATTATCCATAATTTAGGAAAATGATTTATAGACAAGATTTGAATAGTGAAAAGCAGTTCTTCGCTAAACAGGTGTGTCAAATTTCTTTTTTATTTAAAAAAAATCTTTCTATGCAAGATAAGTGCCCATTATTAAGATATAGAATATATATAGCAAGGTACAATAAGCATGTAATGTGTTAGAGGTAAACATATTTCTATAATTTATGCTTATTACGTAAAAGATGAAACCTTTCTGAATATTTATTGTAGCACTTAAGAATAAAAATTTAGTAGAAATTGTCCCTGATTTAGAAGTTTTATTTTTATTGGACTGAAGCCAAGAAAAAATGTTATTGAACTTTTTTATTGGAATTTATCCAATATTAATTGTTTGCAAAGCTAAATGATTTCATAATAATGTTTGTAATTAATAATTAGATAATAAACTGCTTGCCAAATGTTTTTTTTTTATAAAAGAGCATTAAGTTGGTCAAACAGGTTTTAAAAAGTTCACTGGTTAGAAAAATATTGAAAAACAATCTTAAAAACAAAACTTGGGCTAATCGGATTTATTGATAATCGTGAGTTGATCCATACAAATAAGTTTACTTTTCTTTTCCTTGCAAAACAATAACAACATAAAGAGTAAGTTTTTATTTCAACATTTACATGGACTGTTTTTGAAAATTATTTTAGTTTAATTGGAAATAATTAGGTCCAATTTCGTGTTGTTTACATGCAATTTTTCAGTACGTCAAAAGTAAATTTAAATGGTCAGCTATGATAACATTTGAATTGTAATTGTCCTTTAAACAGTTTATTTAAAAAAAGATTTACATTAATTCTTTAAACTTTATTTTCTCTTGTACAATTTGATGTCACGCTACCACTATTATGACAATGTACAGTTTTTTTAAGAAACATATGTCCTGGTTTTAAACTACTTTTTTTAAATGTGTAGTCATAGATATGCCATAAAACACATGATTGATACAAATCTTCTTTTTTTAGTTTATTGTATATATAAATATATAATTTTGATTCTTGTTTTTTTCTTAGATGACGGAAGAGTTCTGAAGTCAATAAATAAAGGACATGGAGCCAAGGTTGAGTCTGTTATCATTGAAGATATACAAGTTTTTGAGAACAAAGCACCAGTTACAAGCATGAAAATTTTCAACAAGAAGGGTGTGAAGAAACTTATTGTTTTGTCTAACTCAAATGTAGCCTCTATCCCACTCCAAAGATGTGCACAGATGAAAAAATGTAGAACTTGTATTGGACTGCAGGACCCATACTGCTCTTGGAGTAATAACGAATGTGTCGCCAGCGACCGAGGCTTTGAGGGCATTCTTACAGGTCATCACGAGAATTGTGGCGTTGAAGGTTGGTATGAGATGTAGGGAATTATTGTTTGACTTAAATTTTTATCATTTTCGATGTTACAATGGTGATTTTTATAATGTATCATTTCATATTATTTCCTTTATATGTTCTGCTTTTAAACATTTGTTTGATTATGTTTTATTCTTTGAATTTTCTATTCTGAGTGAAATTCTTAAGCATGTTTTGGTCTGATTATTGATGTAGTACACGTGGAGTTTGGTTTTTATATTTGTTTTTGTTTTCCCTTCTGTCACAGACACCACAACTGCAACTACCAAGTCAACCATTACCACTACATTAGCCCCTCCCACAACTAGTCAGAAGCCTTGCGAGTGCAAGTGTGAACCCCCCAAAAAGGATGGTCTACAGTCAGAACACAATGTTCCAGACAATTCTGAAGAAAATGGTTAGTGGAGATTATAAAATATGCTGCAACTGTTTCCATTCCTTTTCCATGCTGAAATATATATATTATCTATTTAATAACTTAGGAAATATATATCGTAAATATAAACATAACACTTCTTATTTCTGTTATTCAAATTATATACATATATATTTGTATATGTGTGCCTCTTGAATGTTGTTGTATTTGATATGAAGTAATATCTTTCTGTTATACTTTATCTTATTATTGCATGACATATAATTTAAACATTTATTTTTCTTCTTCAAAATTAAGTTTATATTTATTTAAATCTAAAACAAAGATTTTATTTTCTCCAAATATTTTGCTTTCCCGTCTATTAGTCCATTTTTCCTTAAGAAAGACTTTATTTTTTTAGGAAATCAAGGTTCCCTCTTAAGTGATGAACCCTTGTACCCCACTGAGGAACCATCTCATGGGGACAAAAAACCTCTTGGTAAGGATTTGCACAATTTTTTTATATGTCACTTCAGCTGCAAAATCACTTTATTACATCAGCTCTTTTCCTGCCTAAAACAAGAAACCCATTTGTGACTGGTTACCTACCAGTCTATTGCTTTTGTCACTTCCTGTACTCATTGTGTTGTTATTCTAACTTGTCTCTCTACTGTAGTGTATTAGTTGCTTTTCTAACTAGTCTTGCCTACCTGCTTAGTTGTGTATATTCCTCTATAGTTTTATTCTGTATCATATATTCTAATGTATATTTTCTTTTGAAATTGATACAAAGCTTGAGGAAGAAATTTGGGAAAATAATCACAAGACTTGACCTCAAGTCCTTTTGTGAATATTTTTTGTTGTTTTACATCTTTTGTTTTTGTTTTATTTTTGGTAATTTTTTACTAAATTAATATAGAAAATTAGATCACTTGTTTGTTGTTATGCAAAATAAAATTAGTACATTCAAACGTCAGTCGTACCTGAATGCTTCATAATGACATAGCTTTTTTTCAATCTTTAAACCAAGTAACCACATTTGGATAGTCTTTTTGAAAAACATATTCAAATTCGTATTTAATTCTGTTTAAAGTTTTCAGATAATTATATTTTAAACGAAATGAAAAATAATTGGCACATAGTAAATATATTATTATACATCTCTAGAGCTTTGTACTTATTTCTTATGAAATAGAATGCATATTTGGTATCTTGCTTTGATTCTAGTTCATGTAATCAGTATATACATTATGTAACCAGTTTATGATTTATATAGCTTAATTAATTTTCTTTGCATTAGTTTTTTTTTAAAATTTTAATTGAGTTTTATATCATTGAATGAATTAATTTGCATCTTATAGTTTTTCACATTAGTTTGTTTGCCTTGATTTGCTTTTATAACAATACTTCTGTTGTTTTATATTTTGATTTTAGTTTTCTTTTCTGAATTTTTGTTCCAAACCTAAAACAAGAAATACTAAAAGCATGGAATAATGGAATTAAACAGTTCAATAGCTGTATTTTATAGTCTTCAAAAACCTGTTGTATGCTGCATCTTGCCAGTTTTTGTCTCAAATCTGATAAACATTCAACCTGTATAAAAAAAAAACTTGATTGTTTTAAAGATTTTATAGGTTGTTTACAACTTTGATGAAATTTTCATTAAGAGTTTTTGTTTGCAGTAAATAATGTCTTTCATTTTTCTTACAGTTCCTAGAAAAGAAGAAATGACAGAGAAAAAAGAATCCTCAATTTCTGTAGCCGAGTCTGCAATTGGAATTGTTTGTGCTATAGTATTGTCTTCAATCTTCAGTTTCATTGCTGGTTACAAAGTACATTCCTGTAGAAAGAGAGATCACATGACTGCAAACCCAGGAGAAATTTATGGCACTCTAACGAAAAATCATACAAATAAACTTGTGGACAATAAAGAACCACGATATGTTAATCATTCTGACCTTGAGCGTAATAACTCAGTAAAACAATTAAATTTACTTGTGAACATTCAGCCGAAGGGCTCAAACCTTCCCAATGGAGGGGCACCTGCAAAGACAGTAGTTAACTTAACGCAACCACTTCCTGACCGAACATACGTATAGTATTCTTGTGTATTTATAGGATTTTTTAATTGTTCTTTATTACACACATAGTGCTGTGATACTAAACGTCATGTTCCAAGTAATTCCGGGACCAGGGAAAAACGGCCAGTTCATGAACTATTTAAAGCCTAAACATGGAACCAATTACTGACTGTGTTCATTAATTGTGATACAGAGACTGAACTACACATTCCAAATGTTTTACTGCCAGATTTTATAGTGCTATCAATTTGTACATACACTTGTACATAATATGTACATACAGATCAGGATGCCAAAAAACAAGTCATTAATGGAATGACGTAAAATATGGATTGAACTTTCGAGGACATCCAACAATCATATCTATGAGTTAATAAAATTGTGCAAATCAATGACACATGGGCCAAAAAAAATGAGGACAATATGATATAAAGTAAGGAGATAATGTTGCCAAAGATAAACTAGATCCTGTGATGTTATATGAAACTTGGATTGGAAGATGTTTTTATATCTAGAACAATGATATGCAAAACCTTCCAATTGAAAAAAAAACAAACTAATGTTCGATTACATATAATTTATAGGGCAGCAGTTGCTATGTAAAGTGAAAATGTAGATAAATTTTATATATATATATAGAAAGGCAGTTTTTTTTCTGTTTTAAACAAAAGCTAGTTCTTTTAACGAACCTTTGCCTGTTTAAAAGATAAAGAAGCAAACAAAAAATCGGATACTTACAGGATAATGGCCAAGCAAAGATGGACAAAATAAACAAAACTAATGGTACATTGAAGTTTTCAATTATACTCAAAGAAAAGCCATTTAATCTATATAAATGATCTCGTAGAAAAGGCATACAAGTTTCCTAAATCACAATTTGTCATGATGACAATAAAACAAGTTTCTGGTGTGATCAGATTAACATAAAAAGGGATAGACCCCCAAAAAAAAGAGTAATTTCCCTTGGTTTGAACGACTGTGCCTGATTAGATGATTTTGTTAGCTTATTGTAGAATTAGTATAAGTAGATTAAAAAAAATTGATTGTATATATCTTTTACTAAATTCACTTCAGCAGCAAAATTAGCAGTCCAACTTCAGAAACAGCAAATTTTGATAAAATTTAAACCCCCAAACTGAACATTTACGGTGACAATTTCTACATTCAACAGGGGATGAAAGCAAAGACAATTTAAAAATAATGAAATTTCCCTTAAACTTTTTTTGTTCTGTTATATGATAGATATACTGGGTGTAGAAAAAGCTAATGATCTCAACACATTATTATCATTAAATGCATTCTACACTTTGTGTTGCTCAAAGGACCTGGAGTGTGAAACATCTGTGGAAGATATTGCAGGAGCTAAAGAATTAGAAAATAGAAAAAAAAAAAAAAAAAAGAAAAAAAGAAATATAATTAAATAATAACCCAAAGAAGCAAAGTAGAGAGTCTCTAATCAGGCAAACAGATTTTGATTTATTAACATTAAGGAAACTTGTTGCCATGTTTGTAAATATGTATATTTTTAAAAAGAAAACTGCCAGTGAATGTTTTCATCACATGTATATGTAATATACAATACACCTTGATCATATATAATATGTTATGCATTGTTTCATCTGTTAACAGAATTTTATGTATTGTTTTTTCATATGTTGACATGGCTTTAGTTTACTGATTTTCACCTCCAATGGTAAAGGCCAAACTTAAACTTTTAACATTATTTTCAAAATCAAGTTACCAGTAAATATACAAACAAAATGATAAAGATTTACAAAATTAAATTTAATGGAAAACAAAGTAAATATATTTATGAAAAGAAAGAAAACGATATGATAAAATGAAAGGTTGTGATGTAAGGGAAATCAGTGAATTAATAAGCTTTTGACAATTTGGTTGTCAAATTATATTAATAGACTTATAAAGATGTGTATATTTTCATTCTGAGTTATTTAATTATATTTATTAAAAAGGAAAGCTTTTGTCAAATATTTTACCAAAAGATTTTAGAAGAGGTCTTATAAATGTTCAGTGTCTTATGGTACAACATTCAAGCATTGATATTAACATACAATTTTAAAGACACTGATATATTTTATGGTAATTTTGCATAGACTTCTATTTAAGGTATTCTCATGTATAAGTAATTGTTTATTCCCAGTTATTTTCCACTAACTGACAAGAGTTAAGATATAGTTGAAAAATATAGTGTTTTGTTTCATTAAAGTGAAATATTTATCTACTTAATTTATTGGCAGACTTGGAATTAATTTCCCACCTTATAGCAGTCATCCAGTTTCACATGTAATCATCTATATTACATAGAATCACGCTCAGTTAAAACTTTTGCACGTCTATTCAGTATACATCACGATTTGTTAGTTTCAAATATTGTTAATAAGATTAAACTTGGTTTCATCTCATCAATTCTTCATTAATTCAAAACAAATTTATAATTCTCCTTTTTGAACATAGGTAGACTACTGTCGCCTCACTTTTTTCATATTTATAAACATATGACAGGAATTTGAAATTTGGGAAATTCTATTTCACAAGTGTTTGGATGTATAAAAAACAACTGTATTTTTCCCATTGCTTCCAATTTATGGAAATATGGAATATCATTTTAAAGTCTAATTGATATTTTAAATAAAAATATTTTTTCTTAAAACTAAATATGCTAGAAATTTGTAACCAGAGAATATTTTATAAAATTAATAATATTTTTATTGAACAATTTTTGATTCTAACTACCAAACTTGTAAGATAAACAGGTTTCTAAACTTTTTTATTTTTAAATTTTATCCTGGGGCTACATTTTTAATATCCTGTTTTTAAAAGGGAATTCTTTCATAATATAAGAGAAATTTTTTTTTTTTAATCTATTTACATTTTGTAATATTTCAACTTGAAGTTGAAACATTTCATTTGATAAAGTCATATATTCCATGCAGTATCATATCATTTATTGTTATAGTCATGGAAACTTGTTATGAACGTTTTATTTTTATATATATAATGTAAATGCTTGTTCCGTTGTTGAAAATTTTATTGTTTTTTTGTATAACAGTATTTACACAAGTTTCAAGAAATGAAGAAAAGAGTGACAAAGTTTACAGATTGTGTAACTAAATAAAAATCTTTTTTTTTTATATTTTTTATTTAAGTGCACAACATAAAGAATGTATTTCACACGTTAACTGTAAAATATTTTTGGCCAGTATCTTAAGAATTTGATTTCAAACATTGCTAATGGAGGCAATTTCTGAACAACCATGTTGTAATAATTTAAAGAAATGAATTTTCCTAGATGCTTTAACTACATCAAGAATGGTTATTTTGAAAATTCTGCATGTGTATTAAATTGCAAAGAGTTATCTATCCTGACATTTGGAGTGAACAGTTGCAGGAAGTTCTGTGTTTTTTCTAAATCAGATTTATTCTTTCTTTCATTTCTTGGTAGTTTTGGTTTAAGACAAAGAGTTGTTATACCATTTGCTTTATCATCATGAATTTAGACTTGTCTTAAACAAATATATATATATTATGTATTATATTATGGTACCAACAGAAAGTTAAAAATGAATGAAAAAAGAATTTAAAAAATATTAAAAATAATAATAAAACAACATTTTCTTTATTATTCTATTCATTGTGTTACACAGCAGTTTGAAGAATGGGTTGATATGCAATGAAATGTGTCTAAGGATATTAGAATGCTGATTACAACAACAAAAACATTACATGTATTTGGATGGCTTTCTTGTTGATATAAACTCCTCATTTCTATTTCTTCACATAGAAAGTATTCAGCATGCTACCAAAAAAAAATTAATTATTTCGTTTTTATTGCAAGACAAGAATAATACAATTCAAAAAAGAAAGAAATTGGACAATCAAAACGAAATGGGACAAGATAAAAAATTTTAAAAAGTACCTTTTACAAAACACAAGAATTAGACCTCTTCAGATATTTAATAAAGGTACAATCATAAGAAGCACATGACATCAACAGAACATAATTTTTTTCTCTGCTGTCTTCCTTAGTAAAAAAGGTACGACAATAAGACAGTAAAATATTGATCATGATATCTTCTTGATAATATTAGAATAACAATTATACATACTGTTATTTCAGACGTGTGTACTTAGAAATCATGGAACACTAATAAGACTATTACATGTCAACTGTTGTTTTATGTACAGTCATAGGAAATATGGGACAAGAATAAAATTAGTACAAATGTTGTACTTATTTGTAATCACTTCTAACATTGTAATTTGTGAAGTCTTCTATAACCTAGGACAAAAATAAAACCAAAATAAATATTGAACTGATGTACAGTACATTGAAATAGAGTTAAACTAATAAAAACTAGATCTTTCAGTGAACGCACTAAAGGTTACCCCAACCCCGCAAGTTCAAATATCTCCCTTTAATTATGTCGAACTTGGATAATATTCTTTTATGCACATCTTCATGTAGTGTTCTAAAACTTTGTAAAAGTTTATCAATATCCAACAAACATGATAGTATCAGTTGGACTACAGACAGACAGACAGTGAGGTGGATAAAAAATCATTTTCCTATAAAGTAACTGTAACTACTGGGCCAAGTTCATTATAGATAGAGATAATAGTAAGGAGCAAGAATGTTCAGTAAAGTAAGATCTACAAACACATCACCATCACCAAAACACAATTTTGTCATGAATCCATCTGTGTCCATTGTTTAATATGCACATAGACCAAGGTGAGCGACACAGGCTCTTTAGAGCCTCTAGTTTTGTATTATAGACGAAAACGATATTAGACAAAGAAAACTTTAAACAGCAAAATGATAAGCAAGACAACATATACAAATAAGTGGTCATTGTGTTTGGCAAATTCTAAAGAAGATAAAGAGAACAAAAACTATAAGAGAAAGAGAGAATATGAGATCAGACATACAATCTTAGTTATGAATTATATTTTAGTCTTCAATGTTGAAAATTCACACAGATCCAGGTGAGCGTCGCGCGCTGTTTAGAGCCTCTCGTTTCCTTGTTAACATATAAGGCAACAATCGGCATGAGGACATTTATCCAAACAAGGCACATTATGCTGATGAAATCTCCCGTATGTTTTGTTCCGAAACTAATTCAGCGTACTTACAGAAGAAAGAGCAAATATTAATTTACAGTAATGAATGAGAGGAGATCAGTCACTCCGAGTTTTCCTGATCTAAGGTACATACATGTATATATGCCATTGCTATTGCAACGGAACAACACATTAACAAAATACACACACACAAACTCTAAAAATGAAGAAGAATTTTTTTTTTTGGAAAAAACTGTATAGCGCCACCAAGAAACGTACAGAAAACCAATATCACCAACAGAAGAACACGGGGTTGTGGGTTCGATCGTCTGCTGAGGTTCAATCGAAGACTTGGAAATGGGAATTTTCTGCCAGTTCACCATTTAACACGCGGTGTTAGGGAGTTGGAACACTGGGGCGTTAAAGGTACAAAATTTGACTCAGCCCGTCATTTTAGTAAAAAACAAAACAAAAAACAGACTGAGTTCTTAACACATTAACTAGTCTCGTCCTGAATAAATATGTAGCAGTTCCCACTGGATCAGTCATATATATGTAATCATGACGTCATAAATTCTATACCTATCACCAGATCCATCCATCCATCCCGACTAATGCACACCATTCATCCATCTTTTTGTTCATATATATAGTGCAAAAAAGGTCACATGACAACGAAATACAAATATCCGGGGGAGCAATCGCATAAAGCGTAAAAGAAACAACCATAAAAGATCTGAAATTGGCGCCATTACATGCTTTTGATTAAATAAACATCAGCTACGCCGAAAAGTAATATGAATACCTTTTCAATATGTTTCCATCTTAACGCTATTCAAAATCAAATTATGTAATTACATAAAATGGATATTTACTATATTGCATCATTTTCATAACTGAATCAAATCTCAAATACAACACAACTGTATATTTCAGCCAGTGACAAGACTTACATGAGCATAACAAATATTTTTCTTATTATGCAGTAACAAAACAGATCTGTTTATTCTGTTTCAAACGATACGTATATGGCAAATTTAATGCTAAAATCATTTCGAATAAAACACAACCCAAAAATGTCCTTAAAGTTATGATCTTTTCAAAGATTTACTTTTTAAAAGGGAGAAATTAACTAAGTAACCCGGAGATTACCCTGTGTCAGTTTTCGTGTTTAGGGGGGTAGACCCCATGGGAGAGATATCTAAGGCTATAGAAATCTAAGCTTTATTATCTGATATCTCGAATATAGATCAGACGAGATATAATAACAGGAAGATTTATTGAAAGTTTGTCATGCTGTCTTGTGGTTTATCAACCCCACTGTATTGGATTGTTTACAACATGTTTAGTCCGATTTGTGTAAACTATATATAAGTTATTGTACCGTTTAACTCTTTATGACGAACATGCGTGGAGAAGTCTCATTGAGCCGTCTTTTCACTAAGAAAAGGACTGGTTATGAACCGCTCCCCCCGAAAAAATAAAAAAAACACAAAAAAAAAAAAAAAAAAAAATAAGTTGTTTTTCCTATTGTCAAACGTAAAATCTTTTTGAATTTTGAATGGTACTGATCTTGGTAAATTAGAGAGGCATATTCGTTTTAGTTCATCCTTATTTTACACCTGTATAAAATCAGACGACAAAAATAATTAAAAAAATTGATTCCACCCACTCAATTATTCGAATCAACGCTTTAATATATCACATTAATCGAGAGCAAATTAAAATACTATGGATTTCAAGATTTTTGTTGTATGGCCATTGAGATTTTAGAGGAAACTCAAAAATCATTTAAGATAGAATTCTGATTTCTCTTAAAAGTATTTTCTATTATAATAAGACTTTTCCACACCGTCAGAGAATTATAGCTTAAATTGCAAATTCTATTTCATTGAAAAAGGAATCAGTAAAAGAAATCTAAAATAAATAAATGACATTTGTTTCTGTATTTTGTCATTAGAGATTGATTGAGTGTTTGAGTGCACAGGCACTTTTCTCAGAATTTTACCCCTATATACCTTAATAAAACACTGTGTTATATTAAGATATATAGGAATTTTTTTTTCTGAGACAAGTGCCTGTGTTTGAGTGCTCTCATTGCTCAATAACAAACAGTAATGTGGTTACTCGAGAACAGTGTAAGTTACGCCACCCAAGTTTGAACTTGACATGTGTTTGGTGGTAATAAGCATTTTGTATTACTTTCATAACATTTGGTTGTGGCAAAGTATAGTTAGAGTGCGGAAACGACAAATTTGCAAAATTTTCAATATATAAAGGGCCATAACTCAAGAACGATGAAAGTGACGCCACCCAAATTCAAACTTTGTCTGTGTTTGGCTGTATTTTCTGTATAAGATTCAGAACATTTGGGTTTACGTACGGACGGACGGACGGACGGACGGATAAGGATAAACCTTAATGCCCGCGCCAATCGGCGGAGGTATATAAAAACCAGAAAGTATCTCTAGAATTAACACAAGGCGGCCATCTTTTCTCGGTAAGAATTATAACATGATCGCACACCAGCTTTAAATAGACGACGAATCCTTATAAATTGAACACTAACTTTGTGACTACATTGAATATTCATACTTGTTGTAAATGTCTAGATCTGACGGTTAAATTATCTTCAGTCCAGAAATCGTTAGGTTATGAAAGGGTTCACTATATCAAAGTTGAATTTTGAACATTACTGACACATAACATCTTAAGATACTGCGCTTTGATTTCATTATCTAACTTTACTTTATATTTTCATTAGTGAGAAAGAAGAAAGGGTTTGACCAGTGTTTCTGAAACAGACATCGTTACAAAAAATGTAAAACAAAGCTTTGATATACACGATTCAATGACTTTGTAAACGCAGACTACATTTCGTCAATTATGATATTCACGAGTATAAATGAATATCGTATTACATCATTAAAATAAATTTATTTATTAACTATACGATGATGAATGCCCATGCAAATTGGAAAGTAGCTGTTCATACATACTTTGAAAATAAAAAATAAACCAGAACGATACGGCATTGTAATCTTTCTGATTTTCAAATAAAAAAATAATGAATATGTCTTTTTTGTTGTGGGGGATGTATAAATTCCCTGCAACGTCCGGTCAGGGTGTTTGTTAGTTGTTTTATTTTCTGCTTTGTATCGATCTAATGAGTTAAGCCCTTAATTTTCAATTGATTTTTACAGTTTGTTCTTATGTTGTACTGTTACACCACTGTACCGAGTTAGGAGAAAGGTTTGGCGCCAGCATACATGTCAGGAGCCTGTATATAGTACAGTGGTTATCTTTGGTTCAAGTCAGGAGCCTGTAGTTCAGTGGTTGTTGTTGGTTCATGTCTGTCATATGTATTTTTCGTAAATTGTTTTACATGTCGGGGCCTTTTATAAAGGACTATACGGTATTGGTTTTTCTCATTGACGAAGGTCGTACGGTTGCCAATAATTGCTTACATCTAGTTCATTTGAACTTTCGTGAATAGTTGTCTCATTGGCAATCACACCACATCTCCTTATTGTTATAGTGGCAATTG